TTATGGCTGAGAAGCAAGAAAATGTCAGGTGTGGGGGCAGTATTTAACTGTAACTGACTAATCTTTCATAAATTCTAGTCATCTTAATTTAATTGTGTATGGGAGGGGCAGTCAGGTGATTTATACATGTATAGAGGGCAGAGGCAAGCTTGGGATGGCCTACTCTGTTTTTTTGTTTTCTTTTTCTGAGACAGGGTTTCTCTGTAACAATTCCAAAGACCAGACTGACCTTGAACTCACAGATGCATCTGCCTCTGCCTTCCAAATGCTAGGATTAAAGGTGTGTGCCGCCACCACCTGGAACACTTTCTTATTCTTCTATGACAGGGTCTGTCACTGAACCTGGAGCTAGGCTGGTGGCCAGCAAGGTCCAGTGGTCCTTTTGTCTCAACCCCCCCCCCCCCCAGTGCTGAAGTTACAGGCACACACAGCCATCCTTGGCTTTTTATATGGGTACTTGAGGATTTGAACTCACATCTCCATGCTTGCATAGCATGCATTTTGAACTTCTGAGGCTGGTCCCCAGTCCTTCAAACATCTTTGCATCTCTTGTGGCAGGCAGGCTGGAGAAACCTCTGGAAAAGGGACTCACTGTGATCATGTTCCACCATTGGCGCCCTGATTCTGTGGGTTGGTTACTGATAGGATAATGACATCACTGGGTATCTGTGATCTGCACAGACCTAGAGTCTAGATGCTTATATGACCAAGCTGTGTGTTTAGTATACTTTGAAACGAGTCATGACTTTCCTTGCACTTACTAGAACACCAGCGGTTGAGTGTTCTACAAAAAGGGAAGCACTCTGGGTCCCTTACTTTCTTACCTGCTCCTGCATCTCTAGGCCAAGATTGTACGAAATGCCAAGGACACAGCACATACCCGGGCTGAGCGGAACATTCTAGAATCTGTGAAGCATCCCTTCATTGTGGAATTGGCCTATGCTTTCCAGACAGGTGGCAAACTCTACCTCATCCTGGAGTGCCTCAGTGGTAGGTGTGTGGGCTAGGCTGAGTAGTGGGTGGCAGGGGCCAGCACGGGGAACACTGGGGATTTAGGGAACCCTGAGAGATATGGTTGTAGAGGATGGCTAGGAGGCTCACACACCGTGCCTGGCCACGTGTCCATCTGTCTGTCCCTTCATTTGTTCATTCAGCAAACATCCATCCAGTGCCTAGTGTTTGTGGGGGTGTGTGGAGATGGTGGGAGTTTGCATGAATATCTAGAGGGAATTTCATCCAGTTTTACTACCTTTTCTGCCTGTCCCCTGTGTACCGGACAGTCAGGTCCCCATGTAGCTGCATCTTCATCTTGGAAGTCTCATGGACAGTTACTGTTTCTGTAAGGTCTATTTATTTGTTTGTTTGTTTTGAGACAAAGTTTGCTTATGTGTAGCCCTGGCCTTCGTGGAACTCACTATGTAGACCATGCTGGCCCTGAACTCAGGAGATCCACCTTGAATTCAGTTCCTCAAACTCAGGAGATCTGCTTGTCTCTGGGTGCTAAGTGCTGGGGTTAAAGGCATATGCCACCTACTTGCTTTGTCTTTTCGAGACAGGGTCTCCCTATATTGCATTGACTGGCCTGGAACTTACCATACAGAACTCAAAGACACTCCCTGCCCCCACCTGGGATTAAAGGTGTGTGCCAGCGCACCTGGCAGGTCTGTTTCTAAACTAGCTCACCTGGGTTCTTGTATATCCTCCCCTAATTGCAAAGGTCGTCTTCCTAGAGCATGCATCTCTAACTACCCAAACAAAGCCTTGGTCAGTCAAGGGTGACTGAGGCCTGCTCCTTCTATCTGCTTCCCCATACCAGCTGAACCCTGCAAGCTTCTACCTGCATCCTTTTCACTCTATCAACACCCTGAAAGCCACACCTTCAGTACCCTTTTTCATCATTGTGTTGAGATTGGCTTCCTATGCCCCCCACCATGAGGCTCTGTGGTGAAGTTCTCAGAGCTATTGCCTGTGCCTGGCATCCTAGAGCAGTGTGCACGTGTCTGTCTTCTCATTAGACTGAGCATCCTGAGGGCAATGGCTGGGTCTCCTCAACTCTGCCCCAGCTTCACCCAGCACAGGGCCAGGCACCGAGTGAGTAGGCGACGGTAGATGTTTGCTGATTGAATTGAGTCCCCACGGCAGCTCTGGGAGGCAGGTAGGGTGGGATCTACAAGTCCCATTTTTCTCTAGAAGAAACTGACACTCAGACAGCAATGGGGCTAGTCCTGAGTACACAGCTGTTAATGTGCTTGTGTCACAGGTGGTGAGCTCTTCACACATCTTGAGCGCGAAGGCATCTTCTTGGAAGACACAGCCTGGTGGGTCTCTGGGGGTGCTTGTCCTTGCCTTCACCCCTACCTTTGCCCTGCCTTTACCTTGTCCTGTCTCTGCAGCTTCTACCTGGCTGAGATCACACTGGCCCTGGGCCATCTCCATTCCCAAGGCATCATCTACCGGGATCTCAAGCCTGAGAACATCATGCTCAACAGCCAGGGTGAGCATGTTGCATGCATGCATATGCACACATCCCCTGTCTTGGGTCTGTGGGGCAGGACTGGGGAGCCCACAAGTCGGCCTGGGCCATATTTCATCCCTTGTCCCTTTTAACTGTCTCCTCAGGCCACATCAAACTGACAGACTTTGGACTCTGTAAAGAGTCCATCCATGAGGGTGCTGTCACCCACACCTTCTGTGGCACCATTGAGTACATGTAAGTAGCACCTGGCTGGCCCAGGGTCTGAGTATAACCGGGGAGGCCTTGCCCTTACTGACAGTTCACCTGCCTCCCAGGGCCCCAGAGATTTTAGTGCGCAGTGGCCACAACCGGGCAGTGGACTGGTGGAGCCTGGGGGCCCTGATGTACGACATGCTCACTGGATCGGCAAGTCCAGCACCTTGGGAGGAGGGTGGGTGTTGGGGAGACCCCCCCTCCAGGCTGGGGCAGGACTGGGTGGGAAGACCCCCTAGGCTGCTCTCACCTTCTGCCTCCTCCAGCCGCCCTTCACCGCAGAAAACCGAAAGAAAACTATGGATAAAATCATGAAAGGGAAGCTGGTGCTGCCCCCCTACCTCACCCCAGATGCCCGGGACCTTGCCAAAAAGGTGGGGCTCTCTCCTGTCCAGCGACAGCTTTCCATCTCTTCCCCTAAACCCGATCAGCAATTCTATACATATGCTTGACTGTCTCTAAGCCCTGGGGAAGCAGGCCCCCATCCTGTGTAGCTTGCCTTTGGGAATGGTAGGAACACTGGCTTTGGGGTTCAATCCCTGAGTTCAGGCCTGGGCTCTGAGAGCCTGACCACTGCCTCTGAGCAGTCCTGGGTCTGTCTTCATCAGCAGGGTGTTCTTGTGAACCAACCCTGCTCCATCCGAAAGGCCATCACGAGCCTGTTAAGGGGATGGGAGTGTCACATAGATCCTAAGCCCTCTGAGGAGATGGTCATGAGCAGCAATGGCCAGGGCTTCAAGAACAGCACACTTAACACAACTGAGCTCTGAAAGTATTGAGGGGTCCAGTGGGCAGAACCTATGCCAGGGGTTCCAGAGCCTATACCTTGTCTCTGCTTGCCTTCTCCCCATTCTGGCGTCTGGGCACACACCATCAACTGCTCCCCACCCTCACCTCTTCCCTGCTTTTGCAGTTTCTGAAGCGGAATCCCATCCAACGAATTGGGGGTGGCCCAGGAGATGCTGCTGAGGTGCAGGTGAGGCTGGGATTATCAGAAGGGGTTGGGGGCCAGAGAATGAAGTGGTCTGCAGCAGGGAGCTAGGCACGGTGAATCGCTGACATGTCCCTGGGTACCCTCTACCCTCAGAGGCACCCCTTCTTCCGGCACATCAACTGGGATGACCTCTTGGCCCGCCGTGTAGACCCTCCCTTCAGGCCAAGTCTGGTGAGTATCTGGAGGTCCTTTTGGTCCCATGGCAGATGGAAGCCTTGCCCTTTGGACCCTCCTAATTCCCCACATGGATCTTCCCACAGCAATCAGAAGAGGACGTGAGCCAGTTTGATACACATTTCACACGGCAGACGCCAGTAGACAGTCCAGACGACACAGCCCTCAGTGAGAGTGCCAACCAAGCCTTCCTGGTGAGGGCCTTGGGGTCCCAAAGCAGGGATTATAGCTAGGGACTGGTAATGCCAAACGTCACCTGACCTGGCCTTTCCCCACAGGGCTTCACATACGTGGCACCTTCTGTCCTGGATAGCATTAAGGAGGGCTTCTCTTTCCAACCCAAGCTGCGTTCCCCCAGGCGCCTTAACAGCAGTCCCCGCACCCCCATCAGGTACTCAGGGGCAGGACAGGCTTGCAGCTTGGGTGGGTCTCTCTTCGGCTACTCTGGCAGAGCTCTTCTTCAGGGCTAGCCTCAAACTTCTGCCTACTGCGGGACCTCAGTCCCTGTACATCTGAAGGGCTACTGAAGGGGCGGCTTGTGGACCTACTGCCAGTGTTTCTGGCTAAGCTTAGGAAGCTCTGACTCTGCCTTGGTTTCTCCTGCAGCCCCCTCAAGTTTTGTCCTTTTGAGGGGTTCCGGCCCATCCCTGGCCCAACAGAGCCCATGGAGCCATCTCTACCTCCACTCCTGCCACCACCATCACCACCACCACCCACAAGCACCGCCCCTCTTCCCATCCGTCCCCCCTCAGGGGCCAAGAAATCCAAGAAGGGCCGAGGGCGCCCAGGGCGCTAAGAGAATAGAGGAAGAGGGCAGCACTAAGGCCTGCTCCCTGGCAGCTGTGAGAACCTGGGTATATTCGGGAGATGAGAGTGACTTGGGGGGGGGGGGGAGTGGCTGAGCCCAAGAATCATTTGCATGGAGGGCTGCAGCTTGCAGCCAGTGAGAGCAGTTCCCCATGCCCATTCCATCGGAATGGACTTCCCCGGTGTCCTTATAGAATTAAAGCACTGAATCATGACAGAGTGGCCTTGGCTGGACTCCGGGACACAGGTGTGGCCCATTTACGGAGAGTAGGGGTGTATGCTAAAGGACTACAGACCTCAGGCCTTAAGTTTTATTTTCAGTGTGGTGGGGGGCAGTCTGAGAAGCTGCATGTGAGGGTGGGGTGGGAAAGGTCCGGGGCAGTTTGTGTTTCATCATGACAGGGAAAGAGAGATAGTCAGAGGCTGGGGCATGGACAGGACAAGCTGGCTCCTACAGTGCGGTGACATGGAGGCCGTGGCCCCCTGCCTTTCCGGCACTGTCATCCCAGGCTGCGCTGCCTGAAAAGGCATGCAGGTCACTCAGAAGGGCCTCAGCACTGCTGCCGGAGCCCACAGGACCCGGAGAGCTGAGGCCCAGGCCCCCTTCACTGTCTGTGTCCTGTGCTTCTGGAGCCTGCTTTGCCTGAGCCCCTGCTTCACACTCCTGCTCCTCTTCCTGTGGACCAGCTCCCTCAGGGTCGCCATCCATCATGAAATCCTCTTCTACATCCTGTTCGTCCTCTTGCTGCTCTGGTTCCTCTGGGAATCCTGGCTCAGTGCGGGCCCAAAGCCAGCGGCCTGCAGGGCTGGTCCAGAACAGGCGGCGGGTGTGGCCCCACAAGGCAGCACCCAGGCGAGCTGGGTGGTAGTATCCCTCAGAGGCGCGGCTGAGGCGATGCCAGGCCAAGGCCAGGGCAGTGACAAGCAGCAGCAGGAGCAGGAGCAGCAGGATGATGGTGACAGCACTGGAGCCTGCACCATCCTCTGTGTCTGCCCCAGAGGCCAAGACCCCTGGCAGGGCTAGCAGCACCCTAAACCTGAGGTTACCAGGCAGAGCCTGCAGGAGACAGTAGGGAGGAGGAGTGAAACCTACCATCTCTCATCTCTGTGACAGAGTCCTCAGTTGCCTCAGGCAAAGTAGAGACAGTCAAGCAGAAAATCCCCAGCCCTTATTTGGTCAAGGCCTTGCCCTAGTATGATCACATTAAACTCAACCCTGCAATTTGCTTGTCGCAGCCTCTGGCCTGCTGCTGCCTGAGGCCTGTGCACTGGCTGTCCCTTTGACCCAGATGTTGTAATCCCACAGCCTCTAGGCAACCTGCCTGCCATGGCCTAGGCCTTGCTGATGAGGCCCTACCAGACCTCTGCAGCTAACTGGTCTACTTCAGCCCACCCACTTAGCAGCCTGAGGTCCCTCTGGTGTGGGATTTGGTGGGAAAAATCTATATCCTTCTGCCTTTCCCACCAGAATAAGCTCCTGGGTGATGGGATTTTTTTTGGGTGTGGGGGGTTAGCACCCAAAACCATGGTGGCATGTCAGTGGATATTAGCTAAATGTGTTAAAACGGCCTGCCTGGGCAGTGGAGGGCCCTAAGAGGCAGGTGGCTCTCTGGAGGCCATGATAGAGGTATCTAGACCAACCCAGAGGTTGACTGGTCCTAGGATGGGGGTCTTTGAAGCCCCTCCTCTCAACCATGGGGCTGCCCCACCTGCAGAGTTTCCGTTCAGCTCCCCACTCTGCCCCGGAGGGCCTCAAAGCGTGCTGGGCCGGGGCTCAGTTTGGGGCAGCATGTGTAGCTATCAGAGGAAGCCTGCGGTTGGAACAAAGCAGGTGGAGGGGGGGTAGTAGGAGTGGGGGAGGGGTGCTAGGTACAAGCCTCCCCTAGCACATCAGGCTCAGGGAAGGAGTTACACCCAAACTCAGCTCAAGAAGGGACCAGATGAGAGACTGTCCCAAGGATCTTGGAGTAAGACTGGACTTTGGATGAGGAGCTACTGCAGGACCTACCCTGAATTCTAGAGAACCCAGCTCTGAGGTGAGGGCTAAGTTTTACCCCATGTTAGTTCTGGGCCTTGCTACCCCAAGTCTCATGTGAAGAGACCCTTCTTTAACTCCTGGAACCTCAATATTCCATCCCCAGCTCACTGCCCCAAGAACCCAGAGGGCCCCACAGCTCACCATTGATCCGATGGCCTTTGCACGGGCACCGACCTCTGACTTTGGCTGTGTTTAGCGAGAAGTAAGCTCCGGAGCTCTCAAATATAGTTGTAGCTAGTCACTGACACTTCCGTTTCCTGCTAGAAACACCCCACCCACTCTTGCCTATCACAGGACCCTCATAGGGTCCCAGCCTCTCAGAATCAGCCAGACCCAGACCCAGACCCAACCTTCCCAGGCCTCTCTAGGTGAGGTTTGGCCACATGATCTGTGACCAGAACTCCAAAGGGAGGAAGTATGCATCTAGCTCAAAGTAAGACATCCATCTATATACTATGTAGCTCTGGCTGGCCTGGAACTCAAGGAGATCCTCCTGCTTCTACTTCTGGAGTGTTGGGACTAAAGGTGTGTACCTGGCTAGCCTTTAAAAAACAAAACAGGAGGCAGAGGCAGGAAAATCTCTGTGAGTTCAAGGTCAGCCTGGTTTACAAAGCGAATTCTAGAACAGCCACAGCTGTTACACAGACAAACCTTGTCTTGAGAAACAACTAAGCCAGGCAGTGGTGGGACCTATCTTTTAATCCAGCACTGGGGGGTGGGGGGTAGAGGGTGAGGCAGGCAGGCAGGCAGGTAAATCTGTTGAGTTCAGGCCACTTTGGTCTACAGAGTGAGTTCCGAGGCAGCCAGGAAAATAAAACAAAAAGCCAACTGTGCGTATTACTGCACATGAGGGCATATATGAAGGTTAGCTACCTCTCTACTGTGGGTCCCAGGGGTCGAATTTAGGTCAAGCTTCCTTAGCAAGTGATTTTATTCACAAACCCCTCTCACACCTGTCTCTAGCCTTTCTACCGGAGTTTCTCTGCATGGTGGAATTTGGGTACACAAGGGCTACTTTCCACATGAAGTTTGCAGTTCCCCTTCCTAGTGCTACACCCCATCCCACCCCTCCACAACAGCAGGTCAAACATGGCTTTAGAAAGAGCATTTTATTTAGAATGAAAATATAGAACTGTCTCTGCTGCTTTCTGTGGGGAGGGGGTAGTGGGCTGGGCAGGTTGAGAAGATGGTCCCTTAAAGAATATGGGTGTTTGCCTTGGTACAAAAATCTTCCAAAAGCCAGGTGGTGCTTTCAACCTGGGCCCCAGGCTGTGGAGAGGTGTAAACTGGCCATGACCTGCCCCAGAGGCACTAAGCAGCAAACTGCCTGGTGTGACCTGGCCACCGAAGCTAGGTGAGAAGGGGTGGAGGAGGAGGCAGTGTTGGGAGCAGGCCCCTGGTGGTCCTATGTATCGCCATTCTCTATGCGGCCCAGCTGCTCTTCCAGGCGGCTAATACGCTCCCCCTGTTCCTTGACCAACACCCGAAGTGCCCGAAGCTCTTGCATCACCTCTTGGAATTTCCCAGATTCCTGTAAGGACATATGGAAGTGTCAGAGGCCATCAGCCATAACCCATCCTATAGTAGAGGCCTGAGGCCCAGACAATTGGGCAGCACACTGAAATGTAGGATACATACACCAGCCCCAGCGAGGATGCCACTGGGAACATCAGAAATTGTAGTAGCTGTGGAGGCTCCAGAGCGGCTGGAACTGGCAGGCCGACTGTCTGACAGCACATTTCGCCGGCTGACCTTCAGGTCTCGTTGTTTACTGGGCACATAGGCTTCCCGTAGTGAGATCAGGATGGGATCTGCATCCTGCCCACTCACCCAATCCTCTGCCTCAAGAGCAGCCTCAGGTCCGGCTGTGTCAGGGTACAGATCATCCTGGAAGAGGTCGGACTGCATACCAAGTAGGGGAGGTCAGAATCAGTTGGAAGCCCTATCAAGGGTCTTACATCTGGTCTCTGACTGCATCAACATTCTCCTAACTTGTACTGTTTGTTTTGTTTTTTGAGACAGGGTTTCTCTGTGTAGCTCTAGCTGTCCTGGAACCCACTCTAGATCAGGCTAGCCTTAAATTCACAGAGATCAATCTGCCTCTGCCTCCCTGAGTGTTGCGATTACACCCATGCACAACCACTGACTTGTATTCTTTTGTTTTTCAAGATAGGGTTTCTTTGTATTAACAGCCCTGACTGTCCTGAAACTCACTCTGTCAACCAGGCTGGCCTCGAACTCACAGAGACCCGCCTGCTCCTGCCTCCTGAGTGCTGGGACTAAAGGCATGCACTTCAACCACCCAGCTCTAACTTGTATGTACTCTTACCAACCCATCCTCCAAAGGCTGATCCCCTGGGACCTTCAGAGCTCAACTCTCCCTTTTCACTTTGAGCCACATCTGTGGCCACAGATGGATTGTGGGCTTTGCTCCAAGACATGGCTGGCACACTGAGTCCGTGAACACCAGCTGAAGGACAGTGGGAATGTGTTCCATGCTCCTGGCTAGGCATCTGAGGCCAAGTCACTAGTAGCCAGGCCCCTCCCCATGGGATTAATGGCCAGAGCCCTCTCCTCCTTGTAGCCCCTCCCCACGTAGCACCATCCCAATCCTATTGGTTCCTCCTCTTATGGTAGGCTCTCTATCCCTGCCACCCTGCTCTAAGTGCCTTGGCCTCTGTCATTGCAGGGCCCTGGTGTGGCCCTTCTGCTAGGGAAGGGAGTGGGTGGACAGGGTCCCAGCAGCCTCACCTTTCTTGGCACAGTCATGACTATGGGCTCACACTTGCGCTCATGAAGTTTGTAGAACCTGGAAAAGGGAGGGAGCCATGGTGGGACCCCTACAGCTGTCCAGTTTCCCCACCTGGGCATTTCCACAGGCTGGCCTGAGACCCACGCACAACCTGACTTGTGACTTCAGCTGACTTGTGCTCATGGCCTCCCTGTCTAGAGTCCCTCTAGAGTGATAGTGGGTTTTCTTTTTTCTTTTTTCCTTTTTCGAGACAGGGTCTCGTTGTGTAGCCTTGGGAATCTGAAACTCATTATGTAGATCATCCTTGCTTCAAACTAATGGAGATCAGCCTGCCTCTGCAAGAAGCTGGGATTAAAGGCCTGTGCTGCTCCCTTTTTTTTGAAACATGATTTCATCCATCCCAGGCTGGCCTTGAACTTACTATAGAGCTAAGAATGACCTTGAACTCCTGATTCTCCCAGCTCCACCTCCTGAGTAAATTACAGGGACGTGCCACAGCCTCTGCGTTAGTGTTGTGGTGGAACCCAGGGCTTTATGTTAGGCAGACACTCCACCAACTGAGCTACATCACCTGCTCTTTGTTTTTATTTGTTTTGTTTGAGACAGGGTTTTACTATGTAGCTCAACTGACACTGGACTTACTATGAGGCCAGGTTGGTCCTCCTAACTCCCAAATGCTGGGATAATAGGTGTATGGCTGCATGCCCAACTTAGCCTCTACAATCTGAACTTTTACCATGGATGCTGATGACCTAACCTTGCTCAGTCTGACACCCCTTCCTCCCCAATCCTGGCTGGGTCCTCAAATAAACTCTGCCTATAGACCTCAGAGGACTTCTTACCGGGCAATTTCACACTTGCTGACCTCCAAGCCCCTCTTAGGCATGCTACCCATACCCCTCTGGGGTTCTTTGCTGGTGAATGTATTCAGGAAGTGGATGTAGGGGGGCTCATCTGTGATCTCAAAGTAGCGGATGCTGGAGTCACCCTGTGGGAGTAAGAAAGCTCAGCATTTGACCAGATCCCTTCCCTGCCTCTCAGCCCTGGCCTGTCACCCTATCCAGCCTCACCTTGCCACAGACATAGACCACGCTGGTGTCTGGGTCATAGAAGGGCAGCAGGGCCCCATTGCTTGAATCCAGCTCCTGCAGAGCCATGGGCTCCTCAAGGTTTTCCTAAGCACATAGGGGACAATCAGGCCAAGTCAGAATCTTCTCCTAAACACTCCAGGACTGGCCTCAGCCAGTCTCACATGACAGTCGGCAACACTCCCCAACATGCTAATGGTTTCTCCAATCCCAGGTCCCAATTTCCCAGCCTTCTCCAGGTCTTAAGGCTATTCCACACCAACAGGCAAGTGCTGAGAAAGTCTGGTTATAGTAAGGCTGAAGAGGCAGGCAGTACCAGCCCACGCCTCAAAGGGGCCCTCGAGTTCACTGTACAGGAGTGCTTTGCTGAGAGACAGTGTAGCAGGGTAGGGACTGGGGGCTCCCAGGAGGGTACCTTTACGGTTTGTGCAAGCAGAAAGAATGTGGGAAGCACTGAGGAATGTCAGGGAGAGCCAGAAAGCTGGAGGCAGGGAAGGGAGGGGCTGGCAAGGGCCAGGCTGAGGATCTAAGCAGTGCAGGCTTCTCCATGCTGATCTCTGTCTGCCTGGCCCAGGGAGGAATATCCTAGGCTGAGGCCCAGGTCTCGAGCTTGCCTGCCTGCCTGCCTTAAGCTGGCTACATCACTCACTGGGTCCCAGAGTGCTAGTTGCCGTTCACTCATGCGGCTGAAACCGGTGGTAAACACCTTGCCATCGGCCAGAAAGATGGCCCGCATGGGCCGGGCTCCCTCATGAGCCTTCTCCCGCTCCTGCAGAATGGATAGAAAGTTAGTGCAGTGCAGATCAAGACTCTGAGCCTATATACTGCCATCCTTGCCCTCTGGGGATACCTACTGCCACCAGGGTGCCCCGCCTGGGATCGATGATGCGGACACTCTTGTCCTTGCAAGCTGAGCAGAAGAGGCTGCCATTGTGGTTCCAGCTGACATTGTAGATGAGGTCAGGGTGCAGAGAGTCCAGGCGGTACAGCTCCTCTGCAGTGCCCACATTCCAGATAAGCACCACGTTGTCACAACCTGGTAGGCAAGCGGCCATCAGCTCGAGCAGGTCCAGGCATGCAGTTGTGGGGCCATCAGCCCACTAGACCCACTCTGGTACTACACTGGGTCTCCCTCTTTGTAGGTATTCATTTCCCTGTCTGTTAGATTGTCTGTGAGAGGCTGCTGCACATTTCACAATCACCCTGGAGAAGGGTATGAGGGGGCAGGGAGTGGTGCAGACCTGCACTGAGAAGCACATTCCGGGCTGTGGGGTGCCAGGTGATGATACCCACACGCTTGGTATGCCCCTCAAGCACCACTACTGGCTCAGTCAGTGGAGAGGTCAGCCCATTCTCTGGAATCTGCCATACCTGTGGTAGGGAGAGGGAGAATGGGCTCAGGCCTGTGCCTGTCCCACTGCCAACA